CCTAAACTAAACTAAACTAACCTAACCTAAATAAACTAAACCAACCTAAATAAACTAAACAAACCTAAACTAAACTAAACTAACCTAACCTAAATAAACTAAACCAACCTAAATAAACTAAACAAACCTAAACTAAACTAAACTAACCTAACCTAAATAAACTAAACCAACCTAAATAAACTAAACAAACCTAAACTAAACTAAACTAACCTAACCTAAATAAACTAAACCAACCTAAATAAACTAAACAAACCTAAACTAAACTAAACTAACCTAAACTAAATAAACTAAATTCAACTAAATTAACCTAAACTAAATAAACTAAACTAACCTAAATTAAATCAAACTAAACTAAGTAAACGAAATTAAACTAACCTAAACTAAATAAACTAAACTAAACCAAATAAACTAACCTAAACTAAAACTAACCTAGGCTAAACTAAATAAACTAACCTAAACTAAATAAACTCAGCTAAATTAAATCAAACTAAACTAAACTAAACTAAACTAAACTAAACTAAACTAAACTAAAACTAACCTAGGCTAAACTAAAGTAAACCTGCACTAAACGTACCTGTTGTCTACACACGGGCGGATGGGCGGTTTCCCTGGAGGCGGTCGAGGCAGAAACCTGCTGGGCAGCTGCTCCGGCAGGAAGCTGGTGCTCACAGGGCGGGGGATTTTACTCCTGCTCCCCGATGAGGACGACAGGGACAGAGGGTCTTCTCCTGCGCAGTCGGACCTGGAGCCCCGCTCCGAGGACAGCCTGTCTCTGGGCAGGGCGCAGGGCAGGTTGTCGCAGGACAGAGACGGAGACGGGGAGTGCGTGGGCGAGCCGGGGGCGGGGCTGCTCCAGCGGTGACGGCGATCCGCGGCAGGGTCCCGGCTCGGAGAGTCCAGCGGGTTGCCGGGATCTCGCACGGGGATTCGACTCAGTCTCGGGGACAAGGGGGAGTCTCGTCGCCTGAGCAGAGCTGGAGGCGGAGATGAGGACACCGTGACTGTGCTCTCCACGGCGCCGCCCGCCGTGTCCGCTTGAGGATGCTGATTGGGTTCTGAGGAGCGGTCTGGTAAACCAGAATCGCTCTCCGGGTCTCTGTCATTGGTCAGATGAGACGTGGGGCCTTTGGCAGGGTTTAACACTGGCGCCGAGTCCAATTTCCCTCCATTTTTTAAGCTTTCCTCTGCAAGTTCTTCTAATTTACAGGATGATTCCTCAGGTGGAGCTGCACTGCTCTTCTGCACAGGTGACTGTAGCTCACAGCTGGAGGACTGAGAGCAGATAAGTCATTATTAGACCATTAGAAACGGTTTCAAAATGTTTTTTTTTTTTCAAATCTCTAAACAATTAGGTTCAATCTTCCTCAGCGGTTTAACAAACAATATATTCTTGCTGCCCTACCTGCTCCATCTGCGATCTTCCCATCATGACTGAAGGCATTTGTCCCAGCATCCCCGGCAGCCTCCGGTGGCCCAGTAACCACGTGCCGGGCACGGCCGTCTGCGACAGGACAGGGCTGCTGGGCACAGCGGGACCGGTCGGGCCGTCCTGCGGCTCAGAGGAGTGATTGTCGGTGTCGGCGGCACCGCGGCCTCCCGGCCTGCTCTCGTGCTGAGCGTCTGTCGGAGGCTTGCTTCCTCCAGAGCCGCTGGCCTGCTCCAGCTCCAGCATCACCCACTCCTGAGAGCTGGCTTCCTGAGGCACGGGGCTGAAGTTCACCGCCACGAAGCCGCTGCTCCCCGCGCCGTCTTCCGGGTCAGGAGTTGCTGTGCCGGATTGCTCCTCATTGCAGGAAGGCATCTGCTGCTCGTTTCCCTTCTCAGGTATGGGCGTCTCCTCGACGTGACAAAGGACGGGACGCTGTTTGCCTAGGCTGCAAGAAAGAGATTCCAACATGACTGATTTTTGATTTTTGTCCTTTCTGTGCTTGTTACAAGCTGTTCGGTTCACTTACTACGCCTCGAGGAAACGTTCGATGGTGGGCTTCGGTTCAGGTGCGAGCCTCTTTTCAAAAGCCAAACTCTGGCTGTGTCTGATCCTGCGGAGCAGAGGTGCAGCCCGGTCTAAGAACATGGTCTCTGATCGCACTCGTCTCGGTGAACTCTGCATCGAGCCAGTGTTGGGGCTGTGGTTCCCCTGGTTCTGACTGTGTTCATCCTCACTCACGACCTGAGACAAACGAATAACAAACCAGGCTGAAGTCACCGAAACGACGAGCTGTACTTTGACACCTGCTCAAAAGTTTACTGTGACAGAAAACAAGCCCTGGTCTAAAAAAAAAACACACCGAAGATCAATAATAATTATTAATAAACTGGTCCAAATCTGCATATCTTCATTTCAAAAGCAGATTAACTCAAACATAAGGGTGCATGAGTGGAAGCTACAGTTTTGGAAGCTAAGCTCACAAAATAGTGTCTGAATTCAGGGGTTGAATCCTTCAAAGGACCCGGCCAACCTGGTCTACAAGGTATACATGGACCAGGTCCTTTGTCGACCATGAAGACAGGAAGAAAGTGGCTGTGATTTTGGATGGTTTGGATTTAGGGTGGTCACAGATGGACTCAGAATTCTGTGAGAATGTAACTGAAATTTTGCCATTTTTTTAAAACAATAATGAGCCAAGTTTGAGACTCCAACTAATTTACAACCATTGATATATATTACTGGAGTGGGCGTGGCTAGCGCGTTGCTAGCTACATTGACGTGCACACACTGGAGCTCTGTTATGCATTGAGGAGCCTCAACAAAATGAATGGATGTCAATGGACTGAGAGGCGTCATCCTGATGAAAAACTCTTAGAAATTTCTTACTTCTTGCTCGATTTTAAGAAACTATGGTTCAAAATAAAGCTGAGGACATTGTGAATTTTATAGTTATGGAAATTTAAAATGAATAAATAATTAAAATAGCTAACAGTAGCTTATTAGCGAGTCTTCAACTACTTAATACTGCAATCACAATTTTTTTTAATTGGATGTTTAGTGATATAACTTTTAAATTTTGTTTGGAGAGTGGGGGGGGGGGGTATTTATGTATTTTTATCATTAATTGTAAAATGTTTTATTTTATAGTATTTTTGATTTTCTGTTTTTTTTCCCATCTCATTTTTATTACTGCTGGATGTTGTTTTGTTTTTACTGTCTAGGACTACAGATGTAAATTAGCCTTAGGTTAAATCTGGTGCAATGCATCAAATGATTTTATGTTTATATTTTCATTGCACATTGTCCTAAACAAATAAATTCATTCATTCATTCATCATAATTTCTGAATTACTATGCAGTCTAACTAGTCAACAATCCAATAAAGTCCATATTTTACATGTTTAATATCCCTATATAATCTATGACAACAGATAAAATCGATTTTAAATAAGATTAAACATGAACATTGAAGCTTTTAATGTTAGCATGCAGGTTTTACAATTAAAATAATTAATTTTGGTTAAATATGCATAATATTTACCTGTGAAACATAACAATTTTTGCTCTTGTAAACGTGTTGTATCAATCTATGTAGTTTATAGCAAAGTATTTGAACAATTTATGCGTTTATAAAGTATTTGTTTGCACTGTGCTACTTTCTGCTCATTGATTTCAATGGTTAGCGTTAGCATTAGCTCAATGCATAAAAATCCCCCCTGCGAAGCACGTCCAGGTCACGTGACGCCCAATCCAGTAATATATATCAATGTTTACAACAGTCCCAACCCAGTGAGATAATGAAGTGTCTGCAGACAGAACATTAGTGTTCAGTACATGCCAGCAGTAAAAAAAAATAGTGTTAGGTAAGTTAGTGTGTTAAATTCACGTAAAAACAATATGATAATGTAGACGGAGCACTGTGCTAAGATTTATCTCACTCCACACAGCAGGTGCATTAATAATGAAGCAGCTGAGAGCTAAAAGCTGCAAAGTGAACGTTTTGCAGCAAACAGCACCTCTCCAACCTTTCTGAGCATCGGCTGAGCGTGTTTATGGTTCCGATTGCGGTCCATCTCTTCCCACACGTCTCCGCCAGGGGCGGTTGGGGTGGGGATGGGGGGGCAGTTGTCGGCGTCGCTGAGGCGCTCCCCTTGAAAGACATCCTCGGTGTTTTCCCGCTGCAGCTCGCCTGGCAACACTGAAGCGTTGGCCATGCTGTGGATGGGGAGAAAAAAGAAAAAGGGAAGGTGACCCTGCAGCTCATTTCCACAACGCAATTTAGAGCAGTAATTTTCTCAGGGATATGTGACAGTGCAGTTTTTTTGTGGGGGGTGTATTTAAAAAAAGCAGTAGCTCTATAGCATGTTGGAACCAACAGTGTGTGAAGGAAGATTGAAGAGCACCAGGGAGAAGTGCTACAACGAGAATTTAAAAAGCAAAAGGCATGAATGTCAGAAGTGTTTTTAGCTCTCAGTACCCGAGGTAAGCTGGGGTGAGGCGAGTGAGCTGCTGAGCAGTGTTGGCTGCGGCAGTGATGGTCAGCAGATCCTCTGAATCACATTTCTCCCAGTCATAGGGGTCGTTCTCCAGCACGTTGTGGCTCTTCATGGCCTTCTCAAACACTGACATCAGGAGCTGCAGTAACGGTAAACACACATCAGCATTTGATCGATGAAGGGATTAAACACCTGCTGAATCTACGGAACAAAAAGGACAACCTGATAGTCAGGCTTAGTGAAGTAGTCCAGGGTCAGGATGTGATCCAGAAAAGCGCTGAACTCGGAAGGAAGGTGCTTCAGCATGAGTCGGTGGTCGTACGTTTCTTTTAGGTTTCCAACTTGTTCCTGGAATCAGAAGGGTTAAAACGAACCTGCGCAGCATCGTTTATCGTACAGAAACCACAAAAACAATCACATACTTTGTCTTTAATCTTCCTCCAGGGAAGCTGTCCGACCATAAACTCAACCAGCATGTAGAAAAGAGACCACAGGTCATCGTGACGACCCATTTCCTGTAAATACAGACGTAAAAATTAAAGTTCAAAACAAGAAAAGCAGAACGTGTACGCTCGGTCATCGTGTTAATAAAATAAATGTTTAAATCACAGACGTTATTGCTCAATTATCAACTGTCACCTTTTAGCTTCCTGAAAGGACAAACAAATGTTGCAAACACGGCCACGAGAAGAAAGAGTACAAATCGGATGACTCTCAAATTGAGCATCTTTTTAATTCCATACGATATTATCAGAGCGACTGCTAAGATACGCTAGTTTTAGATACCGCGACCCTGACCTTGTTCTTGTGGGCATTGATTGAAGCGTAACGCACAGTTCCTCTGAAACCAGCTACAGGACGAGGCTGAAACAGAGGAGAAACTTTTATTTATTTATTATTATTTTTTATAAAATCGTTGTGACAGGGACGTCCATTAAGTACTTACAGGACGGACGTCTTGGTTGGAGTTGGTAAACTGACGAGCCAAACCAAAATCGAGCATGTAGCAGCATCTGCAGGTACTGGCAAGTCTCCCCATGGCAAAGTTGGACTTCAAAGTTAACAAGGAAGGGGAAAAAATATAAAAAAATAGTTCACCGGGCTGCTTTTAGCGTTTAGTTAAATATTTGATTTATTACGCAGAAATAAGAAGCTACATCCAGTTTGAGTGGGAAACTCACTGGCTTAATATCGCGGTGCAGAAAGCCGACAGAGTGGATGCTTTCAATGGCCTCGAGAATCTGCTTCCCAAGTCTCAAAGTTGTGGAGACCGAAAAGGTGCCGCGGGTCATCGTTCTGCGCAGATCAGCCAGATTCCTCCCCTTTAGACAAAAAAAAACAAAAACATTAGTGACGCATCATTAGGATACAGGCTAATAGTGTGATAAACCGTGCAGGATAGTGGTCCTCAAAGACCAGGATTGGACATCCTTGGTTTAGGATCTTACCTGAAGTTCCATCACCACATAGTTGAAGCGATCGTTCCGGCCACAGCCCACAAAGCGACACACGTGGTCTTTTCCTGTCAAATCAATTGTTATTATGCATTTGATAACGACTCACACAGATATTTCCTCATGACTTTAGGGGTGAACAGATTTGCACGAACATGAAGACCGGTTGATGTGGTTAAAGGAAACGTTTTGTTGTAACTCACCCTGAAGCTTCTTCAGCACAGCCACCTCCATCTTCAGCACTTGTTTGGGTTGCTGAGCGGACTCGACTTTTAAGGCGACGGTGGCCTGGCTCAGCTGGTCCAGGACCTCGTAGATCTCCCCAAATCCTCCTCCACCTATCTTCCTTATCTAAAACAAAATCGCTGTTTGTTAAGCCAGCCTGTAAGTCATCGGGATCGTCTAATTCCCAAACCATTGTCGACACTTACCACTTTCCACCTGTCCCTGACCACATCTCCCACTGACAGGATGTCTGTGTGCTCTGCAGCTCCACTCATCCTGAGTCCTCAGCTTCAGCCTCCACCTGGCATCAGTGTCACAAGTTCCTCACTGAAAAACACAACTTAGTTCGGTTTCCACTCCTTCATTGGGATGCTGCAGCAGATTTTTAACAAACAAGAACTGGCTGCACGACATCACGTCTCCAGGGCAGATTTAAAGCGCCAACCTTAGCAGACGGTACAGATAATATAGCAACGGTTTGGGTTTGGCTGCCGCAGAATCAAAACAAACCATCGCGGCGTTCACAGCGCAGCCGCAATCACAGGTCGAACATGCCTCTAAAGTAGTCATAAAACAATAACTCAGTGTGAAGCTAATCTCGGCTGCGGCAGCTAATTAGCATACTTGAGGATAACCGTTGGGAGGCGAAAACTAGCTTCCTTACCTCGCTTCGCTACACCTTCGTGATACGAGTTAGTTTGTAAAATTGCCTCCATCCTCCCAGTTCGCTCGGAGCCACGCTGCTCATCTTCAGCGGCTGATCGTTGAAGGAGTGTAAGAGTGGTGGTGGTGGTGGAACATAGGTGGGATTAGCTACACAGTTAGCCAGCAAGCGGCTCGGCCGCCGCTGCGGATAGGGAACGATGCCTGTGCTCGTGACGTCACACCATTTGTGTTTTTTGATTGGTCGGAAAAGTCCTGCATCCGAGAGGAGTTGCCACGCTACGAAAGGAGCGCCGCAAGTGTTGCCAAATATGCTGCAATGTCAGTAGATTACTGTTATTAAAAGCCCAAATGTGCGACCACCCAGGCTGACAGAAAAAGCGCTTAAAGCCCCACCAACACTACTCCTGGACAAATTGTAATCTCTCTTCGCATATGCAATAGTTTTGGTCAACATACGATAGTTTCAAAGTGAACTTAATAGCAGTTTGTTATTTCTTATTTCGCAACCTTAAACTGCATCTATGGCAACTTGTCAATGATATTGTAATAGAGATCACTGCAAGCTGTAATAACATATTAAAACACTTTTAGATACTCAGAATACAAACTTTATATTCAGTTGAAATTGTAGACATCTGGAAAAACATTTCTAATTTTAAAAGTTACATTTCTCAGTCTTCATTAATAAAAATATATCATGAAAAAATAAAATGAAGATCTCCAAAAACTGTCTGAATGTGTATTCATTAACTTCAACATTACATTAACATTAACGAAAAACAAGCAAATGCTGAATAGCAAAACACTACAGCTAAAACAGAAGACAAGCAAAAGTAGATAAAATTAAAAAGTTGCCAAAAGGTTAGCCTAAAAAGTAGTAAAATGCTTACAACCTAAAAGAAGCTGGTAGTTAAGCTAAAAAAGGCTAAAAATATCGAATGACAGCCAAACAGTAAAAGTTGCATAAAAGACATGTTTGCAAAACATGTTTGTTGAAGCAGATTTCACATAGAACAATGTTTTTATAAGAACTGAAAAATCTCTGTTTATTTTAAGGGGGAAATGTTTGTAAACAAAGTTGAACATTTTGAAAAGCACCCATCTCCAGAAAGAGTGGATTGTTTAGATTTACTAGTTGGTAAAATAGCTCAGAATTGAGAAAATTCAATAAACAAACAGGGAACTATTTCAACAAATAACGAGGGGTGTTCGATTTTATCATCAGCGTGTCTAAAATCTTGATCGCGGCTCTTATTATCCAGAGACCCCCACATCCGGAACGAACAACACAGCTAAACAAACGCACACAGACACCGCTATGGGCGTGGCCAAGCCACGGGATTGGTTAACCGGATGTGAGTCGAGTTGTTTTTGGGTGAGGCGGCGCGTTCGCGAACGTCAAACGTTTTTTGCGCATTTGCGCAGTTTCTCAGCGTCGCAAACACTCCGGACAAACCCAAACGAGCCCGTCTGAATTCGCTGAACACCGCTTCGGCACCGTTGGAACCTGCGAAAGTCCCCGGAGCGGCCGCGGCGCGGCAGCGTTCTTCCACACCGCCTCATGCGTGTCTGGCTGATACTGCTGCGGGAGGAGGAGGTGAGGCGGTGGGGGGAAAGTTGTGGACATGTTTTCCTGGACGTGCACGGTTTTACGGATCCGCTGTGCAACGTTTTTGTAACCACGACGTCAGGAAGCCGTTGATGCCCGTCGGGACGTTTTGTTTTTTGTTTTTTGGAGGGGGATCTTTCCGTGTTACCGTCGAGCCGCCTTGATCGCCATATTTGTGCGCAGCGAAACTCGACAGAAAAGTTGTCAGAGTTATGACATTTGCTGCACACAGACCCTTCTTCTTCTTCATGGAGCTGCGTGCAGTCGACTTTGATCGAAACCGAAGTGAGTCCATGGAGTTGTTGACGGACAGTCCTGTGCAGCAGAGATATTAAAGGTACAAAATAACGCTCACTAATCTGCGTTGTTAGCTAACAGCACTCTGCTCCTCTGACGCTTCCTTATTGCTTATTTGTGACATTACATTTCTGGCTATCGCTCGGGTGATTGCACGAGCCCCTTCGTTTCCTGTATTTCTTGTTATGCCAAATAATGGCAGCTCCTGACAGTAAAGCGCCTCCTTGTTGCTGCCTCTAAACTTTCAGCTCGTGTTAATGTCTCCTCTGCACATGTTTTTTTTCCTGCAAGTCTGCTTTCTAATTTTCCAGTTTTTCAGACGGGGCTGTTTTGCTGCTGTAGGCCTCAGTTTCCTCTTTGCTGCTGCTGCTGCTTGCTGCCTGTAAGTCGACTGAACTCTTTATTCTCCACCTATAAAGAAGCAAATTTATGACTTCTCTCTTTCTCATAAGGTCTGGCTCCCCAAAGAGGATGAGAAAAACGGACAGTAGAGCTCGGATTTAATCGCTGGAAAGCGGGCTGCACATTTCCCCCACCCTGCACTTTCCTCTGGGATTTATGTTTCCTCTCAGATACCTCTGTGTACACAATTAAAGAATTCGACAACCACAGGCATCCGGAGCACACTACGGAGGCTATTGACCGAGTATTTGCACGCTCACAGGTTCAGGCTGAGAACATTATCTTAGATTATTGCTATGAGTCTCCCCTCTCAGGTCAACGCTGACAAGAAGCATCAGACTCCAGCCATGAAAGAGGCTGTGCAGCACTCGGGGGACGTTTATTTTGGTATGGGACCTCCGGTTTTAAAGGCGGGTCACGGCGACTCAGCTAGTGGCTCAGGCGTTGGGCACCAAAGCCTGCCGCACTATCAACAGACCGCCCCCGTCAAGTGGATGCAGGACCCAATACAGGCGTCCAACTGGTCTCAGGAAGCTCCCATGTCGACCTGGGGGCAGAACTTTGGCCCCTACATGAGTGGCGTGAGGGATCAGATGGCCTTCCACAAAGGAGGCCACGAAAGCGTGGCGATGCCGATGGCGAGGGAGAACCAGCTGCCGGCACCCATGGAGGCTTACAGAGACGCCAGCCAGGCTCAAAGTCAAGGTGCGGGGCTGGAGTGGGGGCAGCACGCTGCCGCCGCTGCTGCCATGCATCAGGTCCAGCTGCAAGCCTACCAGCACGGCCAGGGTCAGCCTCACGTGGCGCCCCACTCCTCACTGCAGGCCCCCGTTCTGCAGCCGTTCCAGGCGTCGTTCAGACCCAACAAGTTCCCGTCCAACTACTATTCTGTTTTCCCGGGAAACAAGACGATGGCCTACGGCGAGCAGCAGCCTAAACCTCAGCAGCAGCTTCTGCACCAGATGCAGCAGCAGCAACAAATGCATCAACAACAACAGCAGCAGCAGCAGCAACACATGCATCAACAGCATCAACGTCAGCTTCAGCAGCAGCAACAACAAATTCAACAGCAACAAATTCAGCAGCAGCAGCTGCAGCAAATGCAACAATATCAACAGCTGCAGGAGCAACAACAAATTCAGCAAATGCAGCAAATGCAACAAAACATCCTCCAACAAGAAGCAACGCAACCTCCTGTGCAACCAAAACAACAACAGCAAACCCAAAACTTTGGAGCTTTCCAGCCCCCGGACCCCCGTCCACCCGACGCCGGGACTAAACGAGATGAGGCGCAGTCGACAGCGCCGCAGCTGCAACCAGAGGCTCAAGCCAGCAGCGCAGCCTCTTTACCCGATCAGAGCTCTGAGAAGGTTGCTGCTGACGCCGCAGCGCCAACGGCCCCTCGGCGCTCGCGTCGCCTTTCCAGAGAGGGACAGTCCCCGCTGGGGCCCCCGTCCACAAACATCTGGTGTCAAGGCTCCAAACAGCCGCCGCCATCCCAAAATGGAGTCACGGGAGCGCCGGCGGCGAGAGGAGGGGAAGCGGCAGCCGGAGGGGTCATACAGCTCAGCCGCAGGAGGAGGAGAGCGTCCAAGGAGATCAACTTAGAGACTCTTGCTCAGAAGGCTTCAGAAATGGAGTCTCTGCCTGCGAAAACGATCAAGGTTAAAACAAAACTTAACAATATTTACTCTCCTGCTGTAACTAATTAATTACTTTAAAGTAAAGTAAAGTGAAGTAAAGTAAAGTAAGTAAGTAAGTAAAAGTTTATTTCTATAAGTGCTTTACAAAGGTGCAAAAATTATACAGAAAAATAAAACAATAAAAACAACAACATTATAAAACAAAAACTAAGAAACAGACACACTGAAATTGTTAAAAAGCTTTATAAAAAAGGAAAGTTTTAAGTTTGCTCTTAAAGGCAACCACAGAATCAAGTGCACGTATAGAGAGCAGGAGATCATTCCAGAGCTTTGGAGCGACGGCCTGGAAGGAGCGATCACCTCTAGACTTAAAGTGAGCGAAGGGGACCGTTAAAAGATTCTGATCTGATGGCCTCAGCCCTTCAGAGGCAACTTTAAGGCACAAATTGGATAAACTACATTTTAAATGTTGGCTTTAGGCTGAGTAAACACAAGGGATCAGCTAAGGTAGCTAATTTATTGCAAGCGACGGCAAATTTTCTACTCTGGCAAAACAGGCGAGCAGTTGCACAAAGAGGAAGAACCCTGTTTCTATGCAGAACTTCCCTGCGGTTTGAAAACAAATCTTTTTTTTGTGCTGGTTTATTTCTCTCCCAACAGGTGTTCATGTTAATTCGGTCAGTAACTCCGTGCTCAACTTATTCTCATCATTAAACATTATTGTGGTTTTATCAGTTGGTGAACGGTTTGTAAGGAAGGCAGCAGGCTGCGTAAAGTTTTCACTTCATCACTATGTGAGCTCGTTGGCGACAGTGAAAATGAAACGACTGCCTTTTTTTTTAAGAGGAAGAAAGTGCCAACAGAACCGGGCTCAGGACGAGCCGCCATCTGCCTCAACCGTTTGGGGTTTTTAGAGGGCAGGAAGGTTGATGCAGACGGGATCGGTCCGAGTGTCGTTTCTGTGGGAAGAGAGTCGCAGATCGATGGCAGCAGTAACTGATAAACAGAAGACAATAATCCTGATGTCAAATGAAGCCAGAACGGAACGTCTCAAGTGGATGTAGCAGACGAATCGAGTGTAGGATCATAAAATGCTGTTTTGTTTAGTTTCCTGTCTTGAAAAGCTAAGATTGGACTCAGACTGGTGGTTTACGTGTGATTCCTAGAGTTTCAAAAACTAGAATGGGAGTTCTCAAACTTTCAGAAAAGCATCTGTCCTTGAGGCTGGTTACTTTTTAAAACTTCCCTTTATGTTAAATCCTATAGTTAAGGTTTCCTGAGGTATCCTATTAGGGATGCCACAAACAATTATTTTAATAATCGATTAATCACGATTTATTTATTCGATTAGTCGACTAATCGGATCATACGTTAATTGAATATAAAACATACAGCTTATCACATCAGAATGCTGCTATTATATAACCATCGTTAGATTTTAGCTATATGCTAACTAAAAATAATTGCTGTGGAAGGCAAGTTCTGCTCTGCAGATATTACACAGGTTTCTCTTTCATTTTCTTAAAATGATCCCACACTTTTGAACTCCGTTGCTGGGTAGCCATGATACCAGAGCCTGTCTGTATAATGTCTTGTGACGTCCACGGCCTACCCCAGTTACCACTACTGTGTATGTGTGTCAAKGACAGAAARGCAGATGTGGCAGTGGAAGGTGTCAAAGCAATTTGGAGAGAAAAACAAAGTAAAGAACAACAAAAAAAAAGATTAATCGATTATTAAATTAGTCATCGATTATTTTAATAATCGATTAGTCGTCGATTAATCGTGGCAGCCCTATATCCTATGCTCCTATACGCTGACCTATGTTTCCTCACGTCACTGCTGTCTTTTCTCTCTAGTTGGTCAAAGTTGTCTAAGGATGGCTGCAGGTTGCGTAAAGTTTTCCCTTCGTCACAGTCCCACCTCCTGTGTGAGCTCGATGGCGACAGTGAAAATGAAACGACGGCCTTTTTTTTTTTTAAAAGGAAAGTGCCAACAGGACGGGCCGCCATCTGCCTCGACCATTTGGGTTTATTAGAGGACAGGAAGGATTAGTCCGAGTGTCGTTTCTAAGAAGAGAGAGTCGCAGATTATTGGCAGCAGTACTTGTCAATATGGAGAAATGAGAGTGAAGAAATGTGGGTCAGCTTGTTTTCCAGCAGTCCCAAAATATAGTAATTATTATTATTTTTTAAAAGAAAAGAAGCAGCTTAATGGAAATAAACTAATCAAAGTTTGATTACTGAAAGCTCTGTCTTGTTTTACTTTTAGAAACTCTAGGAACCACAAGTAAACCACAGTCCAATCATTTGTGAAGCAAAACGAAACTGCATTTTATGATCCTACACCTGATTCTTCTACGTCAACTCAAGATTCACCATTATGGCTTCATTCAACATCAGGGTTACTGTCTTTGTAAGAAAGACGATACCGTCGCTATTCAGGGTTTATAATGTTTACATAGTAGGCGGTGTTCTTAGACATTCACCTTTTATTGTTTAGCTGCTTTGCTACTCAGGGAAGCAGCATTTTCTGTCTCTTAGGGGGTAAAGAACGCTGTTTCTGTTTTTTTTTTTTTTTTTTTTTTTTTTTGCGCAGAGCGTTAGCACCGGGTATATAGAGCAGCTGCATGTCTGCACACCTCCACATTCCTCAGGTCTTTTTTCCCCCCCAGTCTGTTCAGCGGAGGCAGGGAGGGGCCCGAGCTGTCAACCTGCACGGCTACACTCCCGTTCTCCCCAAACAGGTTTTCACGCAGCTGTTTACCAGCCAGAAACTTGTTTCTGTGGCTAACGAGTGGCACATTTCTGGATAAAGAGATAAGAGTCAGTGTCCTGTTTCTGGCTTAACCTCAAATTTAAATGTTTGAAAAATGATTAATTTTTACCTTCTGCTAGCAAACGTATGGAAACTGTTTTGTCAGCTTTGAAAAGCAGCAGAAACCTGTAGCTCTACGAAGAGATTTAATATAATTCTACAGAAATTACTGAAACATTTGAAGGCCTTTATAAGATCATTTTATGTTGAAAAGACTGAGTTGTAGCTGTTTTTATATGTATTTTTTTAATTTCTGTCTCAGCAGGAGGACGGTCCCTCCAGCAAACAGGCCTCCATCGTGCCGCTGGTCATCCCCGTGTCTGTGCCCGTGCACAAGAATCAGGCAGACCCGCTGGGCGGCTGGCCTCTGGGACGCCTCGGCCAGGGCGAGCGGCCCGCTGGGCCCATGGACCGCAAGCCTTCTGTCATCGTGGCTCGTCGCCGCTCGCTAAAACACGCCATGGCTGAGAGTTTTGGACAGGTCGGTTCATTCAAGGTTCTGGGAAATTGTTTGCGTGTTCGACCCCGGCGTTCAGGCTTCCATGCCTTGTTATAGAAACCTCATGTAGGTTAAAGGTTTAAGATGATTTGCTGAAGAGAACACAGTTGTGCTTCAGATATTTAGTAAAGTCTGCAGCGTGTGAGCTGGTAACTAGAAGATGATGTGTGTCAACATTTTCTAAATCCAAAAATTACATGTTTTTTAAACTGGATTTAAATCTGAATCTTTGTTCAGAACGTGCCTTAATCACACCCTGAATTCTGTTCTCTTGGAGGCTTGTTTTGTTTTTGTTCTTTTTTTCTGTGTAGCAGAATTATCTTAAGTCTATAATTTTTAAATTTCAGCATCATTTCACAATAAAAAAATAAAAATATTGGGATCAAAACAAGCATGTTCACAGATTAGCCATGATAAAATAAAACATACATTTAAAGACATAAAAAAGCAAATTTTAAATGTCATATTAGCTTTGCTCTTTCAAGGTTTGGACATCTGAACATGTCTTTTATAAATTCTATAAAATGTGTAATTTGAGCTGCCATAAATTCGACTTATTGTGGGAATTCTGAGTCAACATTTTAGCCAGTCAAATATCAAAACATTCAGCTCAAGCAGCAAATATAAACAATGCTTTGACTTTTATTTTTGTAAAATATTTATCTTTTATCTACAACAATTTTTTTCTATAGAGGAAAACTTCTTCAAAAATCTCATCTAGCTCTAACTTCAGCTTTGGGCTACTTTTTTTCTATTTTTTTCTGCTGATTTTAGCTTTTAGCCGTTATTTTTCTTGTTTTAGCTTTTATATACAGTTTTGGCAATTTTATCATATTGCTATGGTTTTGCTAGTTAAACCTTGTAGCCATAGTTTTGTTTGTTTAGCTTTTAGCTACTGTTTTAGCTTTTGTTCTGCTTCTTTGTTTAACAATTCAGTTCCTGCCTCAACAAATTTCAACCAAAACTGGACTGCGTTTTTGCTGCAAATGAATTATTATTAGGGGGCGTATTGTGGAAAATTGACTTTTTAAAAACAATTTTCTAGCTTTATGTCATTCTATAGTATCCTTCCTTCATCAAAAACAAACAAAAAATCTTATTATCAGTCGAACTTTGCAGATTTTTGTCCCAATGGGAAACTGGAGGTTAACATGGGTCTTACAGTACCAGAACTGCTGCTTTGGAGAAGTTCTGATCCAGCTGTGCAGAGCTGTGGATGACCCTTTTAACGTGCATCACCATCCCTCCTTTCCTCCAGGACGAGGAGAGCGATCCAGGACAGGACGAAGACGGAAAGTCCAAATTCAAGCGCCGGACTCGTCCCGAGCCGCTCATCATCCCTCCTCCCAAACCCTCCACCTTCATCGCTCCGTCCGTCTACTCCAGCATCACCTCCTACCAGAGCAACCTGCGCTCTCCCATCCGCATGCCGGACAACCCTCACTCCCAGCCCCCCTACACGCCTCCCCCCATCCTGTCCCCCAGGCGGGTGGGATCGGGGCTCTACTTCTCCACCGTTCTCACCAACAGCCAAATCCAGCCCCCTCCGGCGACGCCCAAATCTGCGACACGCAGCCTGCTGCGTTCCGGTAAGTCTCGTTGAGCGTCAGGTTAAAGTTATGAATGAATTATTCTCTCTTTTTCAAAAAAGATTTTGAGTTTTTTTATTGTTTGTTTTTCTCAGTGAGTTCAGAAGCCACCCCTCCTGTCCTGAGCTTGATCACAGATGCCACACCTGTGTGCCTTGAACCGTAAGCACCATATCACATCCCTAAACAGGTTTCTACTTCTCTGTGCTGCTTCCATTTTTCTAAATCCTGCGCTCTGCTTTGGCATCCAGGCGTATCAACATTGGGCAACAGTACCAGGCAGAAATTCCTGATCTGCGAGATCAGCCCTCCTCCCAGCTGGACCAGCCCAAAGCCGACTTGGTTTGGCACCCGTTAGACGAATCCAACCTCAGCCACGGCCACCAGGAGAGCTGTGAGTAATTAACCTGACTAGTTTCTTTTGTTTTATTTAAGCGTTTTGGTTTCCACCTTCCTCTTCACTTCCTGTTTTCAGTGGATCATTTGATGAACATGGCTTGTTCAAGTGTTTTCAGCGGAGGAGGAACCAATCAGGAACTGGTTTTGCACTGTTTACACGAATGTGGAGGCAATATTCTTGTGAGTCGAGCTTTAAGCTTCCAGAATCATCCTTTCACTTTGGTTTTTAGTGTAATTTTGAGCTGGCTAACCTTACGTGTTCTGTTAAAACTTCTCTCTCTGAAATGTGAATCTCCAGGAAACACTGGAGCGTTTGATGCTTCAGGACTTGACGTTGCCCAGTGGCCATCACCTGGCAGGTTATCACTACTCAGGTGAAAAAGCTTTTATCAACTTTATGGAGCTAAATTAGGGCCATAAAGTTTGTTTAAATAATACACAACTTTAAAAGTGAAATAAAAAGATTTGAAACTGATTTTAAAAAGTTTAAAACTACTGGTTTCATACAATTAAATAACTGTGGCATGCTGTTGTATCATAATTAAATGTGGCTGTTTTTATTATGCAATTTAAAAATATGGCAGGCCATTATATCATTATAATTAACGTGTGTAACATGCTGTTGTATCATATACAGCAGGTAAAGTAAGTATTGAACACGTCACCATTTTTCTCAGTAAATATATTACTAGAGGTGCTAATGACATGAAATTTTCACCAGATG